TTTCAAAAATAATATAGAAAATTTGAATACTTTTACATATACTAATATAATATTTTAGGTGTTTTTAATATTAAACATACAAATTTTATATTCTCTTATACAAAATAATGTGAAATTTATATTCTCTTATACAAAATAATTTTACATTGTTTGATCCCGACTCTTTAATTTATAATTATTAAGTATTATTTATCCTCCTTTTTAATTTATAATTATTTTTTTCTTTCTCTTTTTCAATAGGATCAATAGTAGTTTTCACTTCCACCATTGACTGACTCAAACTCGAGGTCTCTTTATAATATTGTTAATTTAATATTGTTCCCGTGCATCGCACGGGGTACACACTAGTAACAAAACAAAAACGTTCTCAATTTTTGAAATGAATTTTGCATAAAATGAGAATGATTGACACAAAAAAAAAAAAAAAAATTTCAAAATCCACATTTTAACATTAAGGTAACAATTTTCCTTATACTCGATATAAAATTAAACTTCACCAGATAATATCTTTAGTATCTATCACAATATTACATATTTTCATTATAGTTTTATTTTATGGTGGTAACATTCCGAAAATCATCTAAAAAATAAAGGAATGAGGTGTCTATTCAATTCACAATTACCAAGTAGAGAGCAATCTTGGTAAATATCGATTTACTGTTACCAAGTGAAAAATAATTTTGCATGCAAAAACAAATATATTTTTAATAATGTATGATTTTTTCATGATGATCATTTTACGATTACTTAACAAATATTATGTATTATAACTTATTGATTAATAGTCTTCAATTTTAAATTTTACCAAAATAAATAGCCCGTAAATAAATTTTACGTACTAGTTTTTACAATAAGTAGCCAGTTTAATAGGATAAATAATTTTGTAAATGGATGGGATCCGTGAGATCCAGTGACGCAAGCTCTGAGATTGCTTAAATTTGAATCAGCAGTCGCTAGAAGAAAACGGAGGAGCGCAAATGACGGCCAGGTAGGGTTGGCGATTGACGGATAGCATCAATCTATCAAGAGAAGTAATAGGTTGGGGAAAGGAGAGAGGGACAGAGAGCGCCCAAGAGCGAGTATTTGGAGGAAAGAACTAAACAAAAATGGGTTGGGAGAAGGATTACGCCCATCGGATTCTGGCGACATGGTTAATAGGAGGGCTGGTCGTCGGAGTTTCGTTGCTGGGTTTCCGTTTTGCTTTGCCGCCGCTGAGTATTAGCAATAAGAAGAAGAAGAGACCGATAAGGGTTTACATGGATGGCTGCTTCGACATGATGCATTATGGTCACTGTAATGCTCTCCGCCAAGCCCGAGCCCTCGGCGATCAGTTAGTCGTTGGCATTGTCAGCGATGCCGAAATTATTGCCAACAAAGGGCCGCCGGTTACTCCCCTCGACGAGAGGTAGTTCATGGATTCCTATATTTTTATTCATTATTTTTTCTTTCTATATTCTGTCGTTCCATTTGGTAATTTTGTTCACACTTTATTAATTCGCGCTGGATGTATAGTGTTTAGACTTGTTCCTATCAATTTACACTACTGTTCATAAGCTAGATATTGCATTCTTGTTCGATTCCAAATTCATCTCGTTTCTGCACTTTTAATTGCTTCAAAATCCTGCACCATCTTAGTACTATGTCTTAAATTTCATATGAAATTATGCAGTGTATGCTGGTTGGCAGGTTCTAGCAAGCCTCTGAATAAATTCAATTTCTTTCATACTAATGAGAACTATTACTTATGTCTTTTTATTATTTCTAAATTATGCATTAGGTATATCTACCTTTTCCACTATGTTTGATGAAGATTATCAAGTTGTACAATAGAGAACTGTAGCTCAGCTTGTTACAATAACTAATGGTTTCCCTTTCTTCTTATTTCTATCATAGGATGATCATGGTCAGTGCTGTAAAATGGGTGGATGAAGTTATTTCTGATGCTCCTTATGCTATCACAGAAGATTTCATGAGAAAGCTATTTGATGAATACAATATTGATTACATCATCCATGGGGATGATCCGTGCGTTCTTCCAGATGGGACTGATGCTTATGCCCTTGCTAAGAAGGTTGGCCGTTATAAACAGATAAAGCGCACTGAGGGGGTATCAAGCACTGATATCGTTGGTATTGTTACTTCTGTACATTTAATTGAATATGATGTGATGAGAACTTTATTGCTTCCCTTAAGTTGGGCTCTCAATGAAAAGGAAAAGGTTAACGGTCTATGTGTGTAACACCATGAACAGTTGATTATCAGCACCTGAGTGATTGTTTGCCCTTCTTTTTTGCTTCTTTCTATTTTGAGCAATAAGTGTGGCAAAAATGTTAAGGAAATGAGACTTAGTTTGAAGAGTGATTGGATCTGATTGTGGATGGATATAGTTAACGCGATGTGATACTGATTAAATTGTAATTGAGTGCGATTGTTGATTGGGAAACTGTGATGTGACTTGTGTATCTTTTCTGTATTTTTCTAAGCAACCACATGTTTGGGCAAAAAGGGTGAAACTAGTACGAGTATTTAAACGCCTAGCACTTCCGAGTTATTGTAGCTTTTGACTGATTTTTTTTTTTCCCAATCTATGAAACTTTATAGTAAAGTGATGACAAATTAGTACATGTTGCCTGCCCAAACTTGAAATTCAAGCTTTTGTTTGGTGACTTTATACACTAGGTCGTATGCTTCTCTGCGTTAGAGAGAGATCAACTGGAGACAAGCATAGCCACTCCTCTCTGCAGCGACAATTCAGCCATGGTCACAGTCAGAAATCCGAAGATGGTAGCTCTGGTAGTGGAACGCGGATATCCCATTTTCTGCCTACGTCACGTAGGATCGTTCAATTCTCCAATGGCAAGGTACATGCATTATGAAGTCACAACTTTAATAATTTCTTTTGAATTTCATGTATATTAGACATTCAGGTCCGCATACAAGGCTTGTATAAGTCCTCCAGTCCTTGACTTCCGACAGTGAGTAAATTCCCTGTTCGTTGATTCAAAACTTTGTTCTGCTTCCCCTCCCCCACCCCCACCCACTACCAAAAAAAATCAACAATGGAAACAAAAAGAAAAAATATTGTAGCATATGTATTCTGATCTGAGTGTGAAATCTTTTTTCTGGTCCTAATATCTTACCCAGTTACACTTATAATTTAACTTATTACTTAATAAGTTGCTTCATCATTAGGAATTTGGTCTGTATTCAATTCCTACCTTATAATTATTTTGTAGATCAGGATGAATGACTGATCATTTTTTCTAGCCCTTTCTTATTTTTGGATGTTTATTATGTGTGCAACATAGCAGTAATAACATATAGGTATCTCAATTGTCAAATAGTCGTTATATTTTTGTTTGCTTCTTTTAGGGACCTGGACCTGATGCACGTATAGTTTACATCGATGGTGCATTTGATCTTTTCCATGCTGGACATGTGGAGGTACGTGATGGTTTCTCTTGTTAATTTATTGGATATATTCTCTTAAACAATTTGGAGTTGAAATTTATAACTAATGTTCATTACTAATGTTCATTCCTTCTGCTTCTATTAGTTATATTTTCACGCATTTTTCTTGTTTATCCACATTCAGTACTATTGAATCACCTTGCAGTATGCTTGTATATAAAATCTGATCAATGTACCATTGCTCTGGCATTTTATTTTGTTTTTTCAATATGGCTGACTTTATTATTTATATGGTTTAAACAGATACTGAGGCTTGCACGAGGGCTGGGTGACTTTCTTCTTGTTGGCATCCATACTGATCAAACTGTCAGGTCTGACTCCATTGCTTTTGATAGTGTGTTGGTTTAAACAATAATTATTTCTTACTCTTGTATGATTCTGGTAGTGAGCTCAGCAGCTTGATAATTTTCCATTATGGTTTTGATTGCAGTTCAAATAGAGGAGCTCACCGCCCAATTATGAATCTTCATGAAAGAAGCTTAAGTGTTCTGGCATGCCGATATGCAGATGAGGTAATTATTGGTGCTCCATGGGAGGTGTCCAAAGATATGGTGAGTAGGAATCACGTTATATTGCTGTTAAAGTTTCATAAGTATGCATTTCGCCTTTTCCCTTTTCTACGAGTTGCTTCCTTGGCTTGTTTGTACTGTGTGGATTTTTGTGAGGATTGATTAAGCGGTAGTATCCCAGTATTGTAATGTGGTTCTTTATTTTGAAACATGACGTATCAAAGCCTGAGGAAAGCACGATGTGTTCCGGAAATTACATGGACTAGCGTTGATGTTATTTACCTTCTTATTTTATTATATAATAAGGTTCAGTCTTGATTTCATGTCACGATCATATACTAACAAGAACAAAAACCGACATTCCAGTAATCGCCATTTTCATTTTAATTGAACTTTGCAAAATGTTGGAATGCGATGCAAGCGTTTTGTAATTCTTGTTGTTGCAGATAACAACCTTCAACATCTCTTTGGTTGTGCATGGGAGTGTAGCTGAGGATAATGATTTTGAGAAGGTATGTTGTTTAATAATTATGGATGTGTATCATTAAGTTATCATACGGTTGCTCATCTCATCTACAATTGCTAATTCAAACCGGGGTATCATATTCGCTAATTATGTAGGAGAAGCAGAGAAAATATTCTGTTCCAATCAGTCTTGGAATCCTTAAGCTACTGGAAAGTCCTCTGGAAATAACAACTAGCACTATAATCAAGAGGATTGTGTCAAATCACGAGGCATACCAGGTTTCACCCTCTTTCGATATTATCTTGAGACTTGAGAGTTCAGAGATATTTTCGAATTTATTTGATTCACTTATTTCGCATTAATTGAGTAAAAAAAACACTGAACTAAAGGCGGATATTTGCAGAGACGAAATGAGAGAAAGGGTGAAAGTGAGAGAAGGTATTACGAAGATAAAAAATTTGTGTCCGATGCCTGATTGACACTCAGAAAATCCTGAAGGTAAATGCATTGTACCTATTCTATTCTCTGGCATATATCAGCAGGTGATTATGGATCTAGTTTTACTTTCAGGTCTCGGTAGAGTTAGCTGGATGCTTTGTGAGCATTCTGAATATAAAGAAGATCCTCACTACCAAAGTTTTTTGTGTCCGTCTTTTACTTGGATTTGGTATTAGAAGCTGTAGAACAAAGAGAACATTACCATGATGTAAGCAGATGTATTTGACTTCTAATTTATCCACTGGATGTATGTTGTTGATGTTCTGTAGGCTCGGAGATTATATTTGCCATCAGTTTGCAGCTACATAGGGTGAAAAACACGAATATTTCAAAATTTTGTTTTACTAAGGAGCAAGCACCTTTGTTGTGCCTGTGCATTGCTCTGTTTATTTATTTATTAGCTTTAGTTGCTCAAAGATGTTGAGAAACCTATGTTTTTTATGATTTCGGATTTTCCCGAGCAATGCGTTTTGAAGATGAAATTCCCCATTTCATGTATGTTGTCTACTTGTCTTCAATTGGTAGTTCATTGATATTTTACGAGTCATGATTACTGGAGGTTTTACTAGGTTTCTAGAGAAATTTGATGTTATGTGGTCCTTAGGATTTGTATTTTGAGATGAATATGATATTGTGACATCAGAATATGTCTGTTGCGACCTCGTAGTAATCTCAAAATATTGATCCCATCAGGATACCTTCACGGTATATATTGACTATTGAGGTTATACAATGGCTTATATGATTTAGTTTACAACACCGTTGGGCACAAATGTTGGTATTGTAAGGTGTGGTTACTTTATCTTTAAAAATATATATTATTTGACATTAAAATCTCACAATTGTTAAACTTTTTTGACATTTTCTTTTTAAATATGGCTGCCTAACTAGATATGTAGCGTGAAGACCTACAGAAAGGCAATGGATCCCAAACCTTCGCTGAAGTATACAAACCAAGATAAATCTCATCGTATAAGCACTTGGCCAAATTGAAGTGTAAAAAAACATCAATCAATCCATACATTTTGATGTAATTTGCACAAGTAAAATTCATTCCGAATCTATTGAAAGAAATTAACTGATGCATACACCAAACTCCATACTTAGACTTCGAGAAGAAATTATAAGCAGATAATGTATTCTTAATACATTAGCAGTTGTTGAGCTGCAAGACAGTCACCAACATCAAAGTATAAAACTATATTGTACTTTGTACCTTACACACCTGACACCTTCGTGATAATTTCCATAAAATTGTACAAAGTTTAGAATATATCCCATGCCATGTATTGAACATTGCTTATTAAAGAGAAATTAGTCACTGTATATGTCAATTCCATCGATTTGGGGAAGAATATCAAGAACAGGAGAGGAATTTGAAGAAAAAGGACATAAGAGAAGAACTGAGTCCCCCTTTAAGTTAACTACTTGGGGCATGCATTTCCTTGTTTGTTGCATTGTGCTTTTGATACACCCCAAAAATTGACCAAACATCTTACAGCAATCTCAAAATCTTTAATTAATCCAAAGTTACAACAGGTTGGCAATGCAGATAAAATACTACGACTACATGCTACCAAAGGTCCAAGATACAATGAATACAACTTTTGAATGACATTATATCAGTGAACTACTAAGACTACGACGTTGTTAATAAATATGCCACACAAGTATCATCAGCACACATGTAAATGGAGAAAAATGAAACACAAATCAGCTTCCAGTTGAGAAATTTTGTTAGAAGTCAAGCTTTTTGCAAATCTCCTTGTTAATGACAATGCTTCTTTTCTTATGTACGTACTTGAATGGAGCTTGGGGGCACGTCTCAGCAATTCCAACGAGGCGTGTGGCAGATTCGGGAGTACGAACCTCAACTTCAACTTCAACCTGTTTTGTGGTCTGCTCCTCTGAAACAATAGCATCAAGAACAGTGTTGTAGACAATCTCTTCAAGAAAACATTCGATGCTTTTTTCATCCGTATTGGAGTCATGGCCCAAAGCATCTGGCCCAAAGTTGAGACTTCGAACAACATGTGTGCGCGATTCTTGCCTATATTTCCTTGAAGGCTGAGGAGCTAGCATCAACTTGTCAGGGCCCGGAGCAAACGAATCAAATAAGGCATCTGTTGGGGTAACTGAGCAGCTTCTATGGATCGAAAATTCATTCGTATCTTCGGGAGTTGGTGGCACTATACTACAAGTCGGTCTGTAGTTTGGTGGCGGTGTACACGGCACTACTATCACATTGTTGTTATTTACTTGGGAAATGGAATTCTTTTCGAATTTATTATACTCACTACCCATGGCTCGAATAAGAGCTAACCTAGTTAGACAAACAACACTTCAACTGAAGTACTAAACCCAAGTAGACAAAAGATTAAAATGCTTAATTAATTAAGCCTGCAAGCTACAGCTCTGTCACCAAATGAATACTCGGGAGAATGTACATATAAACAGATAGTACGAAATGTAGAATTGCTTGATTGATGAGAGAGACAAACTATAGAAATATTATAAAGAGTGAATCAATAGAGAAAATGAAAGCACAGGACTAAAAGCCCTAACTAATCCAATTTTTGCAATAATAAGAGAGGGGAATGATTACTGTAGTCAATTGTAAAGAAGGAAAGGCGTACCTTTTAGGGTGTTGCGGAGGACTGATTGGATTGGTGAGCTTCAAAACAAAACTCAACTCTTCGATCCTCACACGTTTTCAACTCATTGCTGCTATCTGTTTGTTGTTGTCTTCACGTTCTGTGTTCCGCAGCTTCCAAATGTCTATTTACGGTTTTCGCCCTCGACTCTAGTCCTCTTCTCCTCTTATTAGACTATGAGGTCTCACTTGTTTACTACTCTCTCTTAATTTTTTTATTTTAAATGTCATTCTACCTTTATCAACTACTAGTATTCTACATGTGCATTTGTACAAATGTAAATAAAATATTGTGAGTTATTTGTATGCACATAATGATTAATTATTTTTCTTCCACATTTTTGCATCCAAATTTACAATTAAAGGAGTTGATTTTTTTTTTTAAATTGCATTTGTTAGATTGGATGTAATGTATATTTTGGTATGTATTTTTTTAAAAATTATTTATAATTTATTTAAGAGTTTCATATACTTTTTTATTTTCCAAAAAAAAAAATAATTTACATGTAACCACAATAATAATATCTAATCACATTATACGGTAACACATTATATGATTAACTGTCAGTAATCAAAAGTTCAAAATGATTTTTGTATTTTAAATTGATTAGTGTATTGATTATCTATTAATTAGGTTAAATAAATGAAAAGTAACGGTTTTTGGGGGGAAAATGTAAAAGTGCCACCTAGGTATAATTTATGAGGTTTTCTTAAATGTAGAAGAGCTAGTAATTATATATATATATATAGATTTGCTAAATAAATGTCGTTTTGGATCTTTTATACATATTTTTCAATTATTATCCTTATTTAGCCAATAAATACATTACGTCTTTTCATATTCACTCTTCACTTTTTTCTCAAAACATTTATCTCTATCTTCATTAAATAAGGTTATTATTGACAAGAAAAAATATTCTTAATTAGTGTGCAACTTCTCAAAACGACATTTAAAAATAAGAGGTAGTAATAAATATTTCGTTTTTTTTTTTTTTGTTAACTACAATTAATTTTTTTAAAAGAAGTGATATACTTATTAGTTAAAATTTAAGAATATGTTAAAATAATATTTAAAATAAAATTAATTTGAAGTAAAAATAGGAGATAAATGATAGGTAGTAAAATAAGGTGAGTGGATAAATAGTCAATAAATAAGGTGAGTGGATAAATAGTCAATTAGATTTGATGTGATATGTAAGAATGATTGAATTGTATTATTTAAATATTAAAATTAGAGGGATTGAGTTAAAGTTAAGTTAGATTTTTAGTATGAATTGAATTAGAGTGAAATAATTTAGTTTTTTAAGACTCTTATTTTTTTTTTTTTATATCCAATCATCCTCTTAAAGTCATAAAGTATTAATTTGAGATTTCAAAAATTCTTAACAAACCATTTATTTTAAAATAACTTCACATTGAGATTTACTAAGACTTTTTAAGATTTGTTTGAATTTCATAAACAAATATTCAGTTGGAATTCTTAAATATTTTTTGAGATTTTAAAAATTTTGGTGTATTTAATTTAGATTTTACAATACTTTCAAAAGTCTTGAGGATGCATTTGAGATTTCAAAAGTCTTAACTAATAACGAGGTATTCTTAACTTATTTAAAATTGAATCCCAAACACTACGACTAAGTTTGGTAGACAAATAAACTAGCTTAAGCTAGCTGATAGCTGATAAGATAGCTTATGACTTATAGCTGAAAAGCTAGCTTATATGATAAAAGTGTTTGGTAAAATAGCTGATAAGCTAGTTGGAATAAAAAATCCAACTAGCTTATTTGAAAAGCTACCTAAACAAGCTTATCAAATAAGCTCGTCCTACCAAACGGGGCTTATTTGAATACAGGAAGCTTATAAGCTAACCAAATAAGCTATAAGCTAGCTTATTTGGTTTACCAAACATAGCCTAATTTGATTAGCTTATAAGCTCCCTGTACTAAAATAAGTCTCGTCTGGTAAGACGGACTTTTTTTAAAACGCTCGAGTTTATTTGAAAAGCTTCTTTAGGTAGCTTTTTAATAAGCTAGTTGATTTTTTTATTCCAGCTAGCTTACCAACTAATTTTACCAAACACTTTTATCTATAAGCTAGCTTTTTCAGCTTTAAGTTATAAGCTATAAACTATAAGCTAAAAAAAATACTGATAAGCTATAAGCTAGCTTATCAGCTATCAGCTAGCTTATCAAATAGTTTTACCAAACATAACTTACCTCTAATTATATCAAAAAGTTAAAGTCTCATACCTAAAAATGCTTAAGATGTCTCTTAAAATTTTAAAAATTTAAACAGTCTCAAATCTCAAAAAAAATATTTTTAAACCTTCACCTAACCATAAAACTATTCAGATGGCAAAAACATTCTAGGATTGTTAATGATTTTGTTTGTTCATATTTTGTTTGTTCATTAACAATTCCAGAATGATTTTGCGACCATTTGGTTTAAATAATTAAAAATAATAATACTAAAATTAGATATTCATTATTTGACAGGTGCAAAAATGTAAATGGGTACTTGTACAACTTTTTTTGACCCGAGTCACACTCCACTCAACATTCTTCAGCTCAATCAGTCTACCAAACCCCATTTCCCTTTGGCAAATTGCGCTATCTGCAAGTTTTCCCTTTCATCTTGCAGAAGGCGGAGCTACGGATCACGTGGAGGTTAGGTTGGGGGCTTCATGAATTAGCTTCTTTAATTTTGTTGCTTTTTGTTCACTCTTTTATTTTCAATATTAAAGGTGTAATAGAATCGATGCCCTTTTTATCTGGCAAACAAAACAATGGTTTGAGTCTCTTTTAGATGAAAAAGGCTTGTAAAAAAAAAGAGCCTTCCAACGGTCACTACGAATTTCCCTTTCTCTCTTCGCCCGGAAATGAATTCTCTCGCACCCTTTTTCTTCATCAATAGCAGTGGCAATTTGGGGCTGGATTGAGAATTATGATACGATTTGTTTTAATATATTTGGTGTTGTTTTCTGTGTTGATGGCGTTTCCTTGTTATTCAGTAAGTGATGAAGCACGTGCGCTGGACAGTCTTCTCCAAGAGTACGCATTCCGAGCATTTCCCGGTCCAAGCACGAAAACTGGCATTGCTTATAATGGGTTTGCCCCATCGAACCTCGCTGGGATTGAGGTCTCGGCAATGAGGCTTAGAAGTGGTAGCTTGAGATCGCGAGGGGTTCGTATGTACAGGGAATTTGAAATCCCAATTGGAGTCCTTGAGCAGCCATATGTTGAAAGGCTTGTCTTGGTGTATCATAATTTTCGGAATTGGTCCGTAACGTATTATCCTCCTCCTCCCGGTTACACTTACTTGGCTCCCGTATTGGGTCTTCTTGCGTACAATGCTTCTTTTTCTTCTTCTTCTTCTGAATTAGCAATGGCTCCAAGGATTCGTATTCGTACATCTCATCAGCCCATATCAATCAACTTCTCAGCAACTGCAGTGGGTTCGGATCAAATAGTGAAAAAGTGTGTTTTGTTTGATGTGAACGGGTCAGTCAAGTTAAGCGATGTGTCGTCAGGCAACATCTGCACAACATTCCAACAGGGCCATTTTTCTATTGTGGTTGAAGAGAATAGTAACAGTAACAGTAAGAAGAGTAGTAGTTCAAGAAGAAAGGTGTGGAGGAGGATTGTTATGATTGTTGGGTCACTTGTGGGAGGATTTGCATTGCTGGTTGTTTTGGGTTTGGTGATAGTATGGATTAGAAAGCACAGGCAAAGGAAAAGAATGCATTATATGGAGAAGGCTGCAGATAGTGGTGAAGCTTTGCATATGACCAGTGTTGGAAGCGGCAAAGCCCCGGCTGCTGCAGGGACTAGGACACAACCGACAATCGAGACTGAATATGTGCCCTAGCTTATTATCGATTCTATCATCTATTACACTCCATTTTTTCTTGATTGATCGTAGGTTGTTTTTCTTTCACTTTTGTTCATCGGTCGTGAGTTGTTTTTTGTTATAGAGTGCGAGTGTGTATTGTTTCCAGTTGTGATTAAAAAGGATTTTTTCTCACCAGTTGTTTCTCTTCCTCTTTTATGTTCATTCTTTATGGGTTGCCAACTGATGAAGAAGGTATTATCATTGGCAAGGATGCTATACGTATTTCAAGTGTGGATTGAAGTGAAATTCCTGTCTCATTTCATTTCTTAGTCCCAAACTTTCCATCACTTATAATTGTATCATATTGCTTAGTATAAAATATGCACTATCTCCCATCCTGGGTGACGATGTATGTAGTTCATTCGTCTTCTCTTTTGAAAATAATGGAGATTAGTGGGAAATTAACACCAGTTTTTGGATTTAATAATGGTAATTGATAATAAAGATAAGATTTCAAACGATCGAGAGCCCTTATGCGCGGCGGGTGCACCCATCTCACACAACTTCCTAAGAAGTTAGAAGGATGGTAGGTACGAAGTTCCCAATGTTATCCCAAGGAAAAAAGACTTGAATAGAGTTACAGAGATTCTGAAAATGTCTTCCATTCATTTGCAAACACACTTTCTGAAACATAATTCTTGTACAAAGCCATAATAAACAAGAAAGGGAAAAGCACAAGATTACAAATATCGACTCCATCGGCCTTGCACATCAATTATTTCTAAAATGTCTTTTGAACTTACCCACCTGCACCACCACAAAAGGGCATGCATGATTAAAAATAAATCTCCAAAATAACAGTGGAAGAGGTAAATGATACTGGAGTAGTGAAAACATAGTTAATGCCTCGAAACAAGGAAGCAACTGAAACCAAGGGACAAGAACATAGAACTCCTCACAGCCTTGGAGGCATTGCTGAGCAAGAGTTATTGAATGTTCATGAAGCCTAACTTAAACCTCGGTAAATGCATTGAATCTATGACAGATAGAGTACAAACAGCCAAGCGAAAAAGAACTTCTCTAACAAACTTTCAAGCCCTATACTAAAATATCATGACCCAGCCATATTCTTGAAGCCCGTACTCGTTGACGAAGAAAGTTCAAACTTACTTCCATTCTTAACTTTGGCTTTGTTTCTTGGCTATAATGCCAGTCAGACAGACTAATAGTACAAAGTCCACCGCTCTCCAACAAGAAACAAGTAACATAACTGGACAAGCTAACAAATATTTTAGATAACGATTTGGCCTGATTATTTATCTGGGTTCATTTTAAGATACTTAAGGGCATCTGTTGCCACTCGAGTTGAAGCATTTAACAGAAAGAAATGCTAAAGTTCCATACATATATTACTTCGTGCTTCCATTTTCAAAATATGCTTCTAAATCTCTAAATTTCTACAAATAAAATTAAAACAATAAACCTAGGAAAATTTGCTAAAAGAAAAGTTCCACAGACAGGTAAGGAGAAGATGAATCTCTGATTTCTTCAAGACCAAAGCAACTAGAAAGAAACATGTGTGAGGCTTTTGTGACTGCCACCAATCTACTTGATTAGACCAAAATCCAGTCGAAAGTGACTCCAAATCTAAAATATAATGAATACTGTATAATTGTCTGCATGGAAAGGCAGTGATTTCAAATAAAGCAAACAATAGTTTTTATATGGAATGTCAATGAGAACTGCCTTGTAAAATGCCTCTTGCAAGGACGCTCACAAGACACAACTCACTATAATCTGTTTGGTTCTGTGAATTCAATAATGCAAATTAAGATACTTGAGCATGTTTGTTTATAAGATTTTTCAGACAAATTTCAACATTGTAACTCAACAACTTTTTTTAACTCGACTTTAACTCAACCCCTATCATCAATATTATCAATATAATTAAATACTATCAATCGAGTAATGCTATATGTACATAAATATTGTACATAAGGGTGTACATAACACTCACATTGAGTGAGACCCACCAAAAATTAAAAATTAAATGGACCCCCCTCCATGTGAGTGTTATGTACAACTCTATGTACATTTATTATGTACACATAGCATTACTCATATCAATCAGTCATTCATACACACCATTTCAACCTTAATTCACCATTCATCTACTCACATTATTTTAGCTAATCATCACTTCAAATCATCTCTCCTACTTTTTCATCAAACCAATTTTAATTATTTTATTTTAAATATTATTTTAATATACCCACTAACAACTAACCATACCACCTTTTCAAAATTAACCAAACCAAACCAAAAAATCTAAACAAACCCAAAAATTTTCATAAACAAACATGCTCTTACTTGAACCATTTAAACACAGATTATAATTTCGCTAAAGTAAATCTCATAAACCTTATAAATCACTGAAGTGCTGACAGGTCTATAAGCTTTGTTTAGTCGCTTGTCTATGTTTTTTGATTTTTTATTCTTTGGATAGAATCACTTGCTATGATGATTTTATGCTCTATTTTAAGCTCCGTGAAGCATTTTCACAGATGATAAGGCATTGAACGAACATCTTAAACAAGCAGGAGTATTGGGTCGTATCAATACAAACAAGAGCAGCACCAAACAGGGAGTATTGAGAATCCCAATACCGGCCAATATGGGCCCAAAGATAGATATGCATCAATTGGACTTACACAACAAACAAACAAAACAAAAGGAGAGAACTCGCAGGGCTGCAGCTATAAATAGAATATATATATACATATATATATATATATATATATATATATAGAGAGAGAGAGAGAGAGAGAGGGAGAGAGGGAGGGAGGGAGGGATAAGAGATACCCGCAACACATAGGACACATTCGACTTGGAGGAAATTAAACAGAACATACAGAAAAGAATGACACACACACGGATAAGGACATGGAGAAGGAAGCTAGATCGTGGTGGGAAGTTGCACCCGCACATGAAGGAGGATAATTATAACCTCTTTTCATTATTCTTTATTATGTTAGGGTAGTAATCTTATTGTGCCCATTTTATTCATGTACAAACCTCAAGGTCCTCAACTAACTAGTAGCAGCAACAAAAGTAAAGGTCGATCCTACAATGAGATCAACCGTTATTTTAATCCAGGGAAGTTGAACACAAACACAATAAGAGATAAGACACGACTCTTCCACTAATTAACGTGCAAGCAAATTCTAGAACTTTAAGCATGGCATTATTGTTTAAATTGAGCACAAATTATTGTATCCTACTAATCCAGTAATTTAGACCAAAAAAAAAAAAAAGTGAAGGAAACAATTTTACTTCATGGAAAAAAAACAACAATGAAAAGAACAAAATCGTAAACTTAGAATAATTAATCGTATTTTGTGCAGAAACATGAGCGCCGGACTAGATCAGCACCGTATTTCTAGATGTTACTATCATTAAAAAAAAAAGCTAAGAAACAGGATATGCGGGAAACAATTCAAACGAGTTACAGAAGCTGCGCATATGCATAAAAAAGAACAACAAAAAGGGGAAACAAAAAAGCTACCATCAATCTAGTTGGAATGGGAAGGCGAAGAGAGAATTTCCATGATTTTCTTGTCTCGTTTCTCCATAGCCACGTCCCAAACGTCGTTCCCTATGTGCTTAGGCTGCCATAAGTTAGGTTTGCTGATATTAATAATCCATAAACAAACAGATAATCACTAATCAGATGAAAAATCGAAAAAGGAAGGTCGAGAAATGAGGGTGGGGAGTACGGACGCGGCCATGGGCGGCCTTGTGGATGAAATATTGAGCGTTTCCCATGACGCAGAGCATCCCTGCTATAATTCCCAGCGGCAACATTGCTTCCAACCATACAGGCGCCATCGCTAGTATCTGCTATTGCCAACGGCAATTGAGGAAGAATATAGAAAGATGAACCACTTCACTACTCAGATCCCCAATCCCAAATTTTGCTGAATTCGTTCATCGCCTGCTTGCCCGTATATAAGAATTTGGACCTGGGCCGATTTAATTGGGTCCAAACTCCAAAGTTGAGAACGTGGGCTTGACTTCAAGCTTTTTGGGAAATTTACATACATAGACTTTATATAACAAAAATTATCATATATACTACCATTTAGAGAGAGTTCAATCAAAATAGGACTTGGTGGTGTTTTTTATTTCACAATTACGAGATTTATTTCTCACAGCATGTCTTCTTCTCTCTCCAACCATTAAATACGCAATTAATTTGTAAGTCTTTATTTTTCTCCATATTTCTCTCTCCAATTAGGATTTCATTCTCTCTCCAATTAAATATCATGCATTTAATTCAATTGCAGCTAAATTTATTTCTCTTTCCAATTAAAAATCATGTATTCAATTCAATTACGGCTGGAAAAACTGCAAGGAAAAAGGAAAATCGAAAAAAAAATAACAAATTTGAAACCTAGAATTTAGGATTGGAAAGCACAAAAAATGTTCTATATATATGTTCATATATTCTATACATATACATCAAATAAACATAAAAGGCAGTTCTCTAATATTAATCGTATAATTATACATAAGATAAACAACATATAAACAACAATCAAATAAACATAATATGACATTTCTCTAATATTAATCGTATAGTTATACATAAGATAAACAATATATAAACATGTACAACAATCAAACAAACATAATATGACAGTTCTCTAATATTTATCGTATAGTTATACATAAGATAAACAACATATAAACAACACTAAAATGGGATAAAACATAATACACAAACGGACGGACGGACGAACGACTCGACATATAAAGTGTGGACAGGTCTTGGCTGCTGTGAACGAATTTCTCGGCAACGAACGGTCAGGTTGTGACGTCGAACTACGACCGACTCACTGATTGAGGACGGGGCTGCTGTAAGGAACTCGACTCGGGTGGGCCAGTGATGGCGGACTACTCGCTCAGAGAACTATCGGTGGCTCATGGAAGGGCTGCTCGGAGGACGAACGACGTTGCTGCTCCTCGCGCAGACGATTGCACTACTTGGGTACGATGGGTGGTCACCGGAAAGCGGGTCGCGACTCTTACGTCTAGGTTGCGGGGAGTGCGTGGCCTTGAAGCTCGCGGCTATGGCTGTTCTGAGGGGTTCGTATCAATTTTTTGGTGATAGATGAAGGGTTTTTTTTTTTTAATTTTTGTGATAGATGGAGTTCTTACTCTGTAACCAAGATTTCAGAGATAATGGGAGATTTATTTGCTTTTTTTTTTCATTTTTTTTTCAGTTGAGTGTAAAGGTGTTGGATTGGCACGTTTCCCCAAAAATCATGCAAGATTTTAATTTATATATTTGTTGGTTGTTTTTAGAAACTGACATTGTCTTATTTAAATATAATTATACTAATTAGCGGTACGTAATTGTGATGAAAAAAATATGTTCTCGTACAATTGATATTATTTTTATAAGGAAGTGTAGAGGGGGTAAATTTCTCATAGACAATAGGGAAAATTAATTAACTACCACAAGATTGGATTAAAATATAAAATAAGTGTGTTTCACCAAATAATCGGTATTATATGTTCATATCTAATGGAAAAAAAAAGAGTTAAATTTTGGAAATTCAAATGTATGAGAAAACACGAAAAAAAAATATACACTGTAGAAATCGAAATTTTAATATTTTATTAATTAATGTCTTTATTTATTTTTAGGACATAAATCCAAGATAAATAAGATATTTAATTAATAAAGTAATTGTTTCTTGCCACTAAGTCAAATCTTAAGATAAGGAAAGAGATTATATCTAATCTTAGGATCAGGAAAGAGATTATATCAAATCAAGAATGACCAATCAAATTGATGTCTTCTTTTCCAAGACTCTCTCTCTTATACCTATAAATAGGGTTCTCTTCAATCCTACAAATCACACCTCAAACACCTCAAAAATATCAAACACATCTCAAAGATTAAAGTCTCAAATTAAAAGGCTCTCAAGAACCCTCTTGAAGATTTGAAGAAATTCTTGAAGAACCGCCCGAAGTCCATTCAATGAAGAAAAAGGCCAAGAAGAAGAAAAAAAGGCGACGACTCTTTTTCAAGAAGTAAAGAGACGACTTCAAATCCTCTCAAATCAATTCAAGAATATCTACGACGTTCAAGCTACATTCAAGTCGCGTTCGTCGAAAAGTTCAAGCAACATAGCGTTTGATTCGGGAAAAAGCTATCAAGCCCTCGAGTCAACGTTATTCAAGTCAAATTCCTCCTTCAAGAAGATCGAAGAATCAAGTCAAGTCCTCCAAGAAGTTTTCTTCAATCAAGTTAATGCCTAACATTTAATACGGGAATAAGTCATTCGACCCCCAAATTAATGTTAGAGAATTTCAAGACCAAGCCCGAAGGAGGTTCAATCGTCACATCCATCTTTCAAGGTCTCAACCCCAAATTAATGAAGAGAAGAATCAGAGGAGATAAATAGAGATTGTACCCGCAACATCATTTGATCGAAATAAAATAAAGTTGTACAAAGTTTTATGTCTTCCATAAAATTTGTTGTTACAAATTTGGCACGCCCAGTGGGACATTCTCTACCTCTCATCTCTTCTCTCCATATCAAGTTCGAAGTTCTTTGAAGATGCATGAAGACCTCTGTGAAGAAAATGTACATGGAGGCAATGAAGGTTGATGTCTTCCCAAGCCATGAGTCCGTCGAAAATCGTCGTGTTCATCAAATATCTGAATGGAGGGAACAAAAAGTGGTCTACCATATTCTTCTCAAATCCCATGGGGGCAATTTACATGGAAAGCTCCATCAAATCTACATATTCCAATGCTCCTTGATACGAGCCTAAACTATCTACATATTCAAATGCTCCTTGACACGAGTATAAAAAGTCTACATATCAAGATCTCCTTGACACGAGAATAAAATGTCTACAAGTCAAATATAAAGCTCCTTGACATGAGTATAAAATGTCTACATATCAAGATCTCCTTGACACGAGAATAAAAGGTCTACATATCGAGAATTCCTTGATACGAGTATAAACTATCTACAAATCAAGTCATATGAAGAACTCTTTGATACGAGTATAAACTATCTACAAATCAAGTCAAATGAAGAACTCCTTGATACGAGTTTAAACTATCTACAAATTCAAGTCGAAAACTCCTAGATAAGAGTTTAAACTATCTGCATGTCCAACCCAAATCTAAAATTTTGAGACTCGTTCACTACCAAGACATTTTGTCCGTGAACAAGTCTCAAGGGGGCATTTGTAGACATCGAAATTTTAATATTTTAATAATTAATGTCTTTATTTATTTTTGGGACATAAATCCAAGATAAATAAGATATTTAATTAATAAAGTAATTGTTTCTTGCCCACGAAGTCAAATCTTAGGATAAGGAAAGAGATTATATCCAATCTTAGGATAAGGAAAGAGATTATATCAAATCAAGAATGACCAATCAAATTGATGTCTTCTTTTCTAAGACTCTCTCTCCTATACCTATAAATAGGGCTCTTCTCAATCCTACAAATCACATCTCAAACACCTCAAACACCTCAAAAATATCAAACACATCTCAAAGATTAAAGTCTCAAATTCAAAGGCTCTAAAAAACCCTCTTGAAGATTTGAAGAAGTTCTTGAAGAACCGCCCGAAGTCCATTCAATGAAGAAAAAGGCCAAGAAGAAGAAAAAGGCGACGACTCTTTTTCAAAAAATAAAGAGACGACTTCAAATCCTCTCAAATCAATACAAGAATATCAACGACGTTCACACTACATTCAAGTCGCGTTCGTCGAAAAGTTCAAGCAACATAGCGTTTGATTCGGGAAAAAGCTATCAAGCACTCGAGTCAACGTTATTCAAGTCAAATTCCTCCTTCAAGAAGATCAAAGAATGAAGTCAAGTCCTCCAAGAAGTTTTCTTCAATCAAGTTAATGCCTAACATTTAATACGGGAATAAGTCATTCGACTCCCAAATTAATGTTAGAGAATTTCAAGACCAAGCCCGAAGGAGGTTCAATCGTCACATCCATCTTTCAAGGTCTCAACCCCAAATTAATGAAGAGAATAATCAGAGGAGATAAATAGAGATTGTACCCGCAACATCATTTGATCAAAATAAAATAAAGTTGTACAAAGTTTTATGTCTTCCATAAAATTTGTTGTTACAAATTTATTTGTAGATGCATAAAATTTGTGGTCAATCAAATGACGTCACGTGGAAATTAATTTATTAAAAATCAAGTCACATTTTCTATTTATATTTTAGGAATTTCCATAAATTTAATTCCTAAATTTAAATAGTTAATTAATTGATATTTTAATATTTTAATTATTGACCAATCAAATAATGCCAAGTGTCAAATCTTATTATTGGTAAATAAATCATATCTTTTAGAAGATCTTGGAAGATTTAAGTGGATCTAGAAGATCTTGTGAGATCTAAGTAGATCTTAAAGATCTTATGTGAATTATCATGGACCAATCAAATCGCATCCTACGATTCTTAAATTTGGTAGGGAGTTCTCTCCTACACCTATAAATAGGGGCTCTCCCTAATGTCAAAAACACATCAAACACCTCATAATTCATATTCAAGTTCAAGAGCTTTAGAGAATTCTCTCTACAAGTTTCAAGTGTTCTTGAAGATTTGAAGTCGTTCTTGAAGATTCGAAGGAAGACTCAAGCAAGCTCAAGTTCAAAACCGACGTTTAATCCGAAAACAAGCTGTCAAGTCTCCGAATTGCGTTCATATTCAAGTTCAAGTTCAAGATCTCTCGACGAGATTCAAGTGTTCTTGAAGATTTAAAGGCGTTCTTGAAGATTCAAAGCAAGATTCAAGCGCATTCAACCTCAAGACTAGCGTTCAATCCGGAAACAAGCTGCGAAGCCTCCGAATAACGTTAGTAAATTCAAAACCGGCGTGAAGAAGATTCGAGATCTACTTTGCGACGAAGACCAAGGATTCGTGTTCTTCGCGTTCTTGGGATATTTTGACGTTTGATCCGAGAAAAAGCTTTCAAGCCCTCGGATTACGTTAATTCAAGTCAAATCAAGTCAAGGGGAAGATCAAGCCGAAGATTTCTCTCCAAGACTTAAAATATTGTTTGTGAGAAGAATCGGAGGAGAAAATAGAGATTGTAACCCGCTATATTATTTTGATTCAAGAAATTCATTTGAATAATATTTTTCGTGTTTTTAAATTCAATACACGAAATTTGTTGTTACATACACGATATAAAAAAATCAGTCCCTGTTGATGATCTAAAAACAGGACTTAGATATTCCCAATTACAGAACATATATGAAACATATACATATCCTCATCGTCGATCTAGTTTTATTGCAGAACATATATAGAACATAAAACATATACAAAACATACAGAACTGCTATAGTTGTTACATATAGTGAACACATACAGAACATATACATAACTGATACAGTTTGCTCCACTTAAAGATCATATACAAAACATGTACAGAACATGTACTAGACATGTATTCAGTGCAGAACATATTTTTTAGGGTGTTATCGGCGTGAAATTTTTTGATTGTTGTTGCCGGGGTCCGACTGAAAATGGTCGAATCGGATGTGGAATCGGCCTTTTCATGTCGTTTTTTTCTGGGTAATATTTGGTTGTCCTTCAATTTCATTTTCTTTTTTTTTTTTTTTTTTTTTTTTTTTGTCAAGGTGCAACTTTTTTTGAACCATTGTAGGATGCTTCTTTGCTTGTAAATTTGGTAGACGAGAGATGGATCGGCGATGAGGAGATGTCTCGTCGTCGGCTATGGGACTTTTTCTCAACTTTGTTCTTGCCATGTTCGAATTTTCAGTGTATGAGATTAGGGTTTGCAGTTGGTGGGTTGTAGGAAAGATAAGTGGCGAAAGTATCTTGAGTGTTTGGACATGGGTGGGCGGTTACAGTGTGAGATGAGGGAGAGATTTTTCTTATCAAGTTCTTCAGGAATGTTGTTTTGGAAGGTGATAATTCACCTTTAATTACGCTGACTTAATATTGCTCCTTTCATTTGATCAGTTTTATATATCTGGTAATTTACAATTATAAAGGTGAGATATTGTATATTTGCTATTATTTGAAATGGGGTTTCATTTATGTAATTAAAAATTATATGTCTTGTCTAGGCTGCAATTTTCTCTTTACGCGAATTTTTTCACTTACCACAAGAAAATTAAAAAATTGCATATGTACGAGATATCTGATTTTAATAGCACCCATACCATATTGAATTGCTTTTATTTGTGGAGGAAATAAAGACATGCGTTATCACATGAGCTTCCTAAAATCACGCACACGTACAGGGATTAACTGAAAAAAGAAGGTAAGTGGATATATACTATTTATTAGGTGATTGTTCTTATCAGAATGGAAACTAGTTTAATTTGAAATTCAAACGTGTTATCTCTCTCTCCAAGTACAGTAAAAAAACGCAACATTGAGATATACAATATGTTCACGATTCACAACATGAAGTTTCTGCCTGCTACAAGCACTCAAACATATACATAATATATACGAGCAGCATCGAACAAGCCAATCATATATGCTTGAGTGCTTGTAGCAGGCAGAAACTTCATGTTGTAAATCGTGAACATACTGTATATCTCAATGTCGGGGTTTTTTAGTGTATTTTGAGAGAGGGATATACGTCTGAATTTTAAATCATAATTGTTTTCATTCTAATAAGAACAATTGTCTAATAAATAGTATATATCCACTTACCTTGTTTTTTTTTCAGTTAATCCCTATACGTGTGCGTGATTTTAAGAAACTTCTGTGATAATGCATGTTTTTATTTTTCCCATAAATAAAAACAATTCAATTTGGTATGGGTGCTATTAAAATCAGATATCTCGTACATATGCAATTTTTTAATTTTCTTGTGGTAAGTAAAAAAAATCGCCATAAAAGTACGTGAACCGCCCAAAACACTAGTAAAAAAAGCTTGAAGTCAAGCCCACGTTCTCAACTTTGGAGTTTGGACCCAATTAAATCGGCCCAGGTCCAAATTCTTATATACGGGCAAGCAGGCGATGAACGAATTCAGCAAAATTTGGGATTGGGGATCTGAGTAGTGAAGTGGTTCATCTTTCTATATTCTTCCTCAATTGCCGTTGGCAATAGCAGATACTAGCGATGGCGCCTGTATGGTTGGAAGCAATGTTGCCGCTGGGAATTATAGCAGGGATGCTCTGCGTCATGGGAAACGCTCAATATTTCATCCACAAGGCCGCCCATGGCCGCGTCCGTACTCCCCACCCTCATTTCTCGACCTTCCTTTTTCGATTTTTCATCTGATTAGTGATTATCTGTTTGTTTATGGATTATTAATATCAGCAAACCTAACTTATGGCAGCCTAAGCACATAGGGAACGACGTTTGGGACGTGGCTATGCCCCCTCATATGTTGCTAGACTAATAACGCACTTGTATATGTATTAGGCCGACATTATATGAATATGCAAACACAGTTAATTGTGGGCTCATTACCTAGACACTATATTTAGTATTTACTCAGTAAAAGTATTATTATTATTACTATTATCTCATGTTTATTGGATAATAATAATAAATAAGCTAAGAGATGGGTGAAACTTGAAAGTGCCAGGTGTGAATTGTTTTGCTCATGATTCGGGCGTTTGATAAACTAATGGATCTTGATTTAGACTTGATCAAATCAAACAACGGTTTGTTAGATCTAAAGACCGACCTTTCTTTGCGGACTTTAATGGATTACTTGGATACAGAATTGTCTTCTCCTTACCACTAAGCTTAATTAGTTTATGAATCTGAAAAACAGAAAGCTGTAGCTTACATGCTCAATTGCTGTACGTAGTGAGTTTATGATAAATCAGCATCCCCCATCATTTTTTCTTTTTTTTTTTTTTTTTTTAAAAAAAAAATTCTGTAGAAAACCAAAGAAACTTTATATTAGCTCAAAGAAGTGAATAATCTGCATATCTAGTCTAGTGTGTTATTATTAGCTCAAAGAATCGTTTTTTTTTTTTTTTTTATATTATAATCAATCAGGGGTGGAGTACTTTATAATCATTTTTTAAAAAAAGAACAGAAATCTGTGGAATACAGAAAAGATAAAGATGAATAGTGGAAAGTGCAGTAATTGTTGGCGAGGAGGAGGAGGAGGAGCAGTGTTAATAATGAAGCTGATGATTCTGATAAATGTGATGGAGAAATGGAGTTTGTGCTCTGGAAGATTTGTGGTGGAGAAGAACAATCTGAAGGTCACGACCCCCGACCGGCTGAGAGGCGTGTACGAGTGCGCCATCGGCAATTTCGGTGTTCCTCAATACGGTGGCACAATGGTCGGCGCCGTCTTCTACCCCAAATCCAATCAGAACGGATGTAAAGCTTTTCAGGATTCCGACATCTCCTGGAAGAATAAACCCGGCGGCATACCCGTTTTCCTTCTTGCTGACAGAGGAGGTACCTACCTGGGGTTTCTCTCTCTGTGTCTGCGTGTATATATATATATATGTATGTGTGTGCTTATTGTTGGTCTAATCGAACTAATAATTGACTGTGGATGGCAGAGTGTTATTTTACGATGAAGGCCTGGAATTCTCAGAAAGCTGGGGCAGCCGCCATTCTCGTGGCTGACGACCGTGTAGAGCCCCTAATCACAATGGACACACCTGAAGAGGCCGCCGGCAGCCAATCGGAGTACCTACAGAACATAACTATCCCATCGGCTCTAATATCAAAGGAGCTCGGGGACCGAATCAAGAAGGAATTGGGCAATGGTGAGATGGTGAGTATGAATCTCGACTGGCGTGAAGCCCTCCCCCACCCAGACGAGCGTGTCGAGTACGAGTTCTGGACCAACAGCAACGACGAGTGTGGGCCCAAATGCGAAAACCAAATGGACTTCGTGCGGGACTTTCGTGGGGCAGCTCAGATACTTGAGCAGAAGGGTTACACCGAGTTTACCCCGCACTACATCACGTGGTATTGCCCGGAGGCCTTCATCCTGAGCCAGCAGTGCAAATCGCAGTGCATCAATTCCGGGAGATACTGCGCGCCCGACCCCGAGCAGGATTTCAGCAGAGGGTACAACGGCAAGGATGTTGTACTCCAAAACCTTCGCCAGGCGTGCTTTTTCCAGCTCGCCAAGAAAAACGGGAGGCCCTGGCAGTGGTGGGATTATGTCACCGACTTCTCGATCCGCTGCCCGATGAAGGAAAATATGTATACAAAGGAGTGTGCCGATCGAGTCATTCAGTCGCTTGGTTACGATATTAAGAAGATAGATGAATGCATTGGGGATATTGAGGCTGATGTTGAAAATCCAGTTTTATCAACTGAACAAGAGGCACAAGTATGTATGTTTAAACTCTAACTAAGTGAATTATTTCCCTAATTACATCACTTTTTGGTATGAAATTTACTTACTTGTATGGATTTCAGATAGGAAAAGGGTCGAGAGGAGACGTTACGATCTTGCCAACTTTGGTTATAAACAATCGACAGTACAGAGGTGTGTGTGTGTGTGTGTGTGTGTGTATTATGACCGATCAATTATTTCAAAGTTGGTTTTCGTTTTTAGATAAAGTTTGTGTGAACGGCAGGTAAATTGGACAAAGGAGCAGTTCTAAAAGCCATTTGTTCAGGTTTCCAGGAGACAACTGAGCCTGCCATTTGTTTGAGCAGAGGTAAACTTGGCATTTATATATAACTCACAAGTAGTAATTTGTATATATCTATATGCTTAGTAAATGGTATTTCCAGACATGGAGACGAACGAGTGTCTGGAGAACAATGGTGGATGCTGGGAGGATAGATCAGCCAACATTACTGCATGCAAGGTGGATTTCTGATAATCTTTCTTGATTTGCCGATTATAAAACTGCTTCTGAAATTGAGTTTCATCGTATTTTGTTTGGTGAAACTTGCGAGCTAGGATACTTTTCGAGGAAGAGTGTGTCATTGTCCCACTGTGCAGGGAGTTAAATTTATTGGTGATGGTTATACCCACTGCGAAGGTAACAATAATTATATATCAATTCTAGACATTTCCTGATGAACCTAAATCAATTTATTTCATACATAACTCTTATTCAACCTGACAGCCTCTGGAGCATTAAGATGTGAAATAAACAATGGAGGATGTTGGAAGGAAAGCAAGAATGAGCGAACATATTCTGCTTGCACTGTGAGTTTTCGCCGATAAAAAAAAAAGAAAAAAAAAAGAGAGATGACTTAAGATTTTCTTGCTTTTTATGTGATTTGTGTCGACTATTTTTCAGGATGACTATAGAATAGGCTGCAAGTGCCCCTCTGGATTCAGAGGTGATGGAATTAAAGATTGCGAAGGTAAATATAATATTGCAAATAGTAATAAAGATGACGGAAGGCTGGAAGGAATGAAGTTTTGATGTTGTATTGGATATCTCAGATATCGACGAATGCAAGGAAAAGGTGGCATGCCAATGTCGTGACTGCAAATGTAAAAACGTGTGGGGAAGTTACGAATGCAGCTGCAAGGGACACTTGCTATACATTCACGAACACGACACTTGCATTAGTAAGATTAACGATCACCAACACGACATTTACGCCCTATAGTTCCAAGTTGTTATAGTTAACAGTAATAATTAATTTTTATCATCATGCGAAATGCGCAGGTAAAGATGGTAATACAGAAGTTGGTTGGGGCATAATATGGATCGTCTTTCTCGGCCTAACCGTGGCAGGTGTTGCTGGATATGCTGTTTACAAATATAGGATTCGGGTAATGCCCGGTCAATCCTCTTTATTCTTCAACAATTGTTTTTATTCTACCTAGATAATTTATTTTAGCTTCATTATTTTTTTATTTTATTTATTTTATTTTTTGATGCAGAGATACATGGACTCGGAAATTCGAGCAATCATGGCTCAGTACATGCCCCTGGACAATCCAGGGGAGGTCCCCAATCACATCTCTCACTCTCGGGAAAGCGTTTGAGTCGTGATCAAATCCAAAACAGAAACACAGAAAAATAAATTACTCTCCCCCCAATACTTTGTATACGCACACTAAACGGCCATTGTTGCAATGCGATGATGAGCTAGCATATCGATTTTGATGAATAAACGAATCCACTCTTTTACGTGTCGACAGACTTCAGATGTGTCACATATTCGATTTTAATTTAGTAGATAACAATTTTGGTACATGAATCACTATAGTCTATATACAATCTCATTTTGTTATTGGCCCGCCCAAACATAATAATATCGAATCTGGATTTATTACCTAAATATATGGTTGTGTGTCAATAACACCATACACATTTTTTTATGAGCCTTCACCTCTCAACCAAGCTTCCTTCGATAAGGCTACCATTAAGCCTTAAACAATTGTACTTTCTTCAAACAAATGTGCATACTTGGCATATTGTAAAACCAAAAACACACAAACCGACACTTTAAAAATGCGAAAATTACAAACCAACAATGTTCTTAGAGGTGGTAACACCGCCATCAACCACGAGATTGTGGCCACTAATGTACCTCGACTCGTCACTCGCAAGGAAAAGCGCAGCCTCGGCTATATGATCCGCCCTTAGCGTCTCCCCCTTCAAATTCGCCACCGACCTCACAAACTCCTCCGTGTTCTCCACTTCCTCTTTCGCAGTCACGACACAACCATCCTTCCTCCACGCCTCCACCAGCATCCTTGTGGCAACCCCAAACGGTGAGATGCAGTTGACCCTTATCCCGTGCTTGCCGAGCTCGCAGGCCACATTTTTCGTTAGCCCGACGATTGCGTGTTTGGATGCCGTGTATGCGTGGGGTCCCAATCCCCCCATCACCCCAGCCACGCTCGTCGTCGATATGATGCAGCCTTTGCCGCCGCCGGAAGTGGCGGCGGGCACCATGGCACGGGCGGCGTGCTTCATACCGAGGGCGATACCCCTGACGTTGACGGCCATGATCCGGTCGAACTCCTCCGCGTCGAAATTGAGGATGGTCTTGCGGGATGATGACTGGTTGCCGAGGATGCCGGCGTTGTTGAACATGATGTCGAGCCGGCCGTGCTTCGACACCGCAGACCCCACAAGGGACTCGATGTCGGCCTCCAAGGCGACGTCGCAGTGGACGTAGGATACGTTGGGGGACAGAGCTCGGGCGAGAGAATTTCCGAGATCGTCCTCCACATCACCGATTATCACGAGGGCTCCGTGGGCCGCGAAGAGACGTACAGTCGCCTCACCAATTCCTCTCGCACCTCCGGTTACGATTGCCACTTTTCCCTCCAATCTGTAAAACGGCCAGAATTACAAAAACGAAAAAAAAAAAAAAAAAAGAAAAATGGACAAACTAGGTGATAAGCTAGGTAATAGCTTATAATTCAATTTCGAGCTTATAGCTGATAGATTATGACTTATAGCTAAAAGGTTAGTTGATATGATAAAAAGTTTTTGATAAAATTAGCTCATAAACCAGTTGGAAATAAAAACTTCAAACGATTGAAAAGGTACTAAGCAAGGTTATGAGATAAGCAAACAAAACTTATTTTTTTACATAAAGCTTATAAGTTAATAAATATAAATAAACTAGTTTATGATACTTACCAAATACACTCGGTTATATATCTATGTACATATGTACCTTTTGGCGGAAGCAGATTGGATTCCAGGAAATGTTAACTCAGGCATTTCTAATTTGTAATTGAAGAAAGAAAAAATAGGAGTGGCCTGGCCTGGCCTGGCCCTGGTGATCAGTGTTCAGACTTTAGAGGGAGGCATTTATTAGTGACTGTCTAGAGACATTAAGGTTATTTATTTATAACTCGAAAAGCGAGAATTATTAATTAATTGATTAAACGCATCTGCATGTTAGTCACGGACGACACATATATATATGTAAGAATGATTATAAAATGTCTGGTCAACTATATGATCAGTCGGTTACACGCAATCTGCTGGTCGAGCCCCATATTTTTAAAACATTGTTCACGAACCAAGAAACATAAACATGTCATCATTAATGTCGCTTTCTATAATTTTGTCACTGGCTATTAATAACAAGCAACTATATATCGTACTTCAATTAATTTTGTAATACCAAGATAAATTAGTGTAAAACACGACTAGCGTTGCCTACAAGTCAGAGCAGCTCGCGAAAGCTTGACTTGAACTCGAATTCGGTTAAGCTCGAGTTAAGTTGGAGCATTTTGAATTTGAACATGTAGTTTAGGCGTTTGACAAGCCACTTAAATGTATGTAATATTATCTATATTCTCACTATTAGACATTTTTTTAACTAGTAAAGTGCACGTGCATCGCACGTGGTGATAAATGTTTTTTGCCGATTGAATTTAGTAAAATAAATTAATTAATTTATTAACATATCATTGCAGGAATGAAGTCAAATATAGATTAAATGAGCTTCTATTGGTTTTTTAAAATAACATAATGATGTCTTAATATGAAAAGAATGAAATAACGTATTACAACTCCAACAAAAATATAGTCTTTAATGAAAAAAATACTAATGCAAGTGTAAGCGTCCGGGTCCGGTTTGGAGTAGATCGATTCTTGTCCTTGCCGGTAGAACGCCGAGAACCTGCAAATAACTCTCACACCGGGGGTTGGATCCGGTGAAGAGCCTCCGATGCTTAAGTCAGTATGTGTATGAGTATACTGGAATTTAGAGAATGAATAGAACGTGTTAAGGAAGAAAGGCTCATCCCCTTTTTATAGGGGTGAGATACCTGCCCTAATAGCTGCCCGGATAAGGATACGTGTGCTGCCCAAGCTGCCCGTCCGTACTGTGACACGCCGCGCACATGTCAGAGGTGCCGCGGGACGTTTGGGCGTTGTCAGAGGTGGTTATCGCTATCACCCAATACATTGTCGACACGTGTCCACCCGGCACATGGGGTAAATATTCTCCTGAAGCTCAGTCAGGGATCCTCACGCGCGTCTGCCATACACGCGTCTGGACTTATGTTGATCAGCTTGCTCGATCACTCAGCTTGTTCGATCACTCACCTGATTGATTGATGGGTAGCTCGACCAGTCTGATCGAGCGTCAGGCTATTCGAACGCCAGTGCAGTCGAGCTTTGGGTTGTTCGATCGCTTGTGTGGTCGAGCCCTGGGACTGCTCGATCCCTTGGATTCCCGCCTTTCGGCTTGGTTTGCTCCCGGTCTGCTCTTCTTGACCGGCTCACCAGATCGGTTCGTCTGTATACGGGATAATATCCTATATCAAATACAAAATGACTAAATAATGACCTAATGTATATTACAGATGCATTAGTTATTTTATTTAATTATGTTAGATGATTAAAGAGTGATTTTTTTCATTTTGATTTTGACTTTTCATAAGAAACATTCTTACTCGTTGGAGCCCAGTACATCAATAGTGCTGCAAAGTTCTTCTTAATTCATTTGACAAAACGTCTACATTATTCAATCACTTATAAATATTCTGGCAACACGTGTAGTCAAACTTCATAATGTATGATCTTATAAGGTATTCAATCACTGACTTCTCTGAAAGAAATTTTATCATGTCCTGAATGATTTTTTTCAATATTATTTATTTGGAAGACAAACAGACTATATAACCTATTGTTTGTAAATAATTAACCATCTTAGTTGTTGCAATGATTTTTACGTTGTTTATCATAATATCTATCGCATTCTTTCCAATTTGCAGTACTTATATGTTAATAACATCTTTAATGTTTTTATTGTCCAATTTTTTTTTTCGCATCATACATAATGCTTCGAAAATTCAAGATAAAGATTATTTCTTGGACAAAAAAAAAAAAAAAAATCAAAACAAAAAAAATGAGACAATATTAAGAAACATATCATTTGTTGAAATATATATAAGATAATAATTAGAATTATATTATACTATGATACTCTTAGACGCTATGCGAACTTTATTACTAAGAAGTTATTATTAACATTTACGTTATGTATTACAAAATTTTTATTTTTATAATTATTTATAATTCTTGATAAGTAGGATCATATTTATAAAACCTAATTTCTTATAGAGTTCATATATTTAGACACTAGTAAAAAAAGAAAGTAGTAATTTTAAAAGACTTTTGTCTGTTGATAGTAGTATTCATATTTCTCTAAGAAAATACATACTTTTTCTTTTCCTATTGGATTACTATCGTTGTATTTGTTTCTTATTCTATTCACAAATAATATTTATTTATTAAAAGAATTAGATCACATTTATATGTATTCTGCCATTTTTTTTTTTGTACATACTTTATATAATGACTTTGCAATCCGATATCTTATTTATTAGGCTACAACTAATATAATCAAATAGATAAATACTGTTTAATTATACTTATTTATTTATAATAATAATATATTTGACAAAAATGTACTTTTATACTGGTTCCAAGATTAAAAAGTTTATGATTTTTTTCATTGTTTGATATAATATTAAGTAATTACTTCATTTTCGTATTTATTGAAAATATATGTTATATGTTGCAACAATTACGGTGTTTCTTTCATGCAGTAACTGAATAATTGTTCAAAATATAACTCATTTAGCTTAGGAGTGAAAAACATCATTAGCTTAGGAGTAAATTGGTCAATCATATTTTAGTGGCCCATTCAACAATATAGCTGAACAATTGAATATGTTTATATTTCCCATTAGCGAGCTCCAACTGATATATGACATTAATTTAGTTCCATCACTTTCTTTTTACTTATGGATTGAATGCAAGCTATATATTTTCTCATTGCCTAGTCTTACACTTTTATTACGTAGAACATCATTCTTACCAATTGTTAGTTACTATAATACTAATAAAATAATTAAAGACTTTTTAACCTAGACGTATCTTGTTTGTTTCGAAAAAATTACTAATTATTATAAATTAAATGAAAATTACATTAAATGTTTTATATTTACTCTCATTGTCAATAATTTTCATAATAATTAGTTGCACACAATATTATATATAATATAATTTTTTTTATAGAATTAGGACCCTACTTTTACTACAAGTAAAATGATGAAATTTCAACGAAAATATGTTACAGTGGAATTTCAACGATAATCTAACAAATATTTCAATGTTATTACTCCCTTTTGAATTTCCAATGAAAAGTTTCTGACAAAAATATTTTGTTGGAATCATTAGAAGATCCATGTTTATAGGTGAGACTCATCCCAAAACATCTATGATAAGGTATCTAACAATAATCGTGGTAGTCAAAATTTTAATTATGTCCTCTATTTTGAAAATAAAATTAAAAGAAAGAAAATACATAATGAATTACTTTAAAGTTCAACCAATTATAAGTTATTCAGCTCATAACTTTATAAAAGTTATAACATAAATGCGATATCACAACTAAAGAAAACATGATAAAATCTCAAAATTATAATTTTATCCTCAAATTCTATTTTTTTAATCTTGATGATAACTCTATTCTTTTTTTTTTTTATAACATAATGTTTTCTCTAACTTAAAAATATATTTTTTTCATATTTTTTTAACTAATGTATTGGAAATTCTAGCTATATGTGTAATAATTTATGAATTCATCAATTATATAGTCGAGTTGAGTCAACTATACTACAATATAAATTTTTGTTCATAAAAAAATTTAAAAAATATATTATTTTCAATGTTTTTGTTATGTTGAATTGAAAAAAAAAAAAAATGTTTTTCTCTTAATATTTTTAACTTTTCGTGATTGTATTGTTATGTTAAAAGTTAAGAATATATTACGAATGAGAAAGATGACAAATATGAAAATAATAATTTATAAAGTGTATGACATTATGTTATTTTGATGGTAAACTTTTTTTATGAACTAAATGTTTTCCCAATATAAAATTATTTTAAATATGCCATTAGTTTTTTAATGGAACTTACATTGATTTTTTACAATTCCAATGACAGTTTTGCCATCGGTTGAAATACGGTCCGAAAAATAAAATTTACAAAAATTTACACAACAATAAATAACTTTAATTGGAATCATTATTCATCAAAATTTCAATGTGGTTTAATTTGATACTTATTGGAATAACCCATTAAATTTTCTAATGAAAGTTATAGCAATGAAACATCTTTTGAAATTTTCAGCAGAATATCTGCCTTCAGATTAATTTTACATTGCAATATAACATTTATTTTTGTATTTCTTCTTAAACATTAAAACTTTTTTGTAGTAGCTTTTGTTAGTCATCCATAATCTTTTTTTAGAAATCACTCATTATTTTATCTATAAATTACCCATTAATTTCTTAGTTGAGTTATATTTCTTACATATTAATTATTAAATAATGAAAATAATTACAATTTATATATGTAATATGATATTTATATATTATATTGCAAAACTAATAGCAAATAAAAAGTTAAAATTAGAATAATCAAGTTTTTTTTTTTTTAAAAAAATAAAAGTTCTAAGCTACATGGATTAAAACACAATTAACTATTGTCTATCACCTAACACTTACATATATAAGTAATAAGAACAAGAATTTAATAAGCGTTTAACAACTGAACTCATTTACATCAATAAGTACAAGTTTAAAAACCTTATATTTACTTTTATTAACTATAAATTTTTATTTATTTATTTTTCATATTTATTAGTAAGTGTTAGACTTAATTATATTTTTATTATTATATTTTTGTAATATATA